TCTACTCCCGTAAGGATTTACACCCTCGGAAACCCTGTACAGGGTCGCTATGGGTCGGAACCGACTCGATGGCACTTAACAACAACAACAACAGAGGCACTTTAGACGAAAGGACTGCTGATATACTTCCCCCAAATCAGCCATTCAAAATCCTTTGTAGGATAATTGTTTTCTGATGCATGTGGGGTTGTGTAAAAAGTGTGTGAGGCCTGCATCTGACCTCCCCTGACTTCACAAGGGGGAAGAAGATCAAACTCCATATCAGCCCAAAGCCAATTCCTAGAAGGCTGAGGTCTTCTACCTTCTTTACCAATTCTGATACCAACTGCTCCTCCTGTGGTACTCTCTACTTCTAAGCTGGACTTGATAGTTCATTGCAGTGGCCACACAGAACAGAGACAATACTCACACTTATGGAATATATTAGGAAGTTAACAGGGTCAGAAATGCTCAGTTTGCAATTGTTCTAGTCAAGATTCTGTCTCTTCAGCTATGCCTACAGACAGACCTCTCTCTCACTTAGCGTAGCCTCTGCTCTGCTCAGACAGTGCTACAAAACTCCTTTAGGGCTGCTGATAAATGCCCAAAGGACATTCCCCTCTACTGTGAACCTCCGCCCAAAGGCACTTGGCTCTAGCTCCCCAATAAAATGCCTTGAGAAACCCCATTCCACAAGCAAGTCTCCTGTCTGAAAGCACTCAGTTTTACTCACTCTGCCGGAAGCCTGCAACTCTGTGGTGCCCTGGCTCTTGGTTCTACTGCTGCCGCTTCTCTGGTGTAACAGCTTTCTGTTCCTGGAGGTTCAATATGCAGGGATCTTGGATACAAAGGACACACTCCATTCCTAACTCTAATTTCTTGTTAGTGAGATTCGAACCCCCTCAGGTTGCCATCCATCAGATACCCTAAGGAAACTTGAGAGTCTGGGACTTGCGACAGGTATGTTTTCATGGAGCTGAAGGAAGAGCTATATCTAGCATTTGCCTTCATATGTGGCTCTGACAAGTTTCCTCACCATACGAATATTCCACATGTTCTGGGAGGGAATAAAACAACAACAAAACAACTAGCTGTCTCAATGGAAATACACGCTCTGATTGGTGACCACACTCATCACTGATAAGGGGAAGTGAGGTAAAAACAGCAAAGAAGCGGTGAGCTGAGCCCTACAATGTTCAATAGGCCTCTGTGAACCCAGGTGGAGACTTGGTTGGCCAGCAGTGTGGGAAGACC